TGGTGGTGGTGGTGGTGGTGGTGGTGGTGGTGGTGGTGGTGGTGGTACAGAGGAAGTGTCAGAGTTAGTTGGCGGTAGAGAGGGCGAGGTAGAGGTGGACGGGGAGACGATGGCTGGAGCAGTTCGAGAGGTGCAGTTGATCCGAAGATGTCCAACAAGTCCGATTCGAGCCCGGAATGTCCGGTGGCATCGAGGACACGTTGACATACACACACACAGAGTGTGGTAGACAGCGCGTAGGTCTACCGTCACCGTGCATCAGTTCACGCCCTTTCACCCACCTAGCTATGGGACATACGGTGGATATCGTTCGAACTGACAGTTGAACTCTCACCGCTATGATTTTTGAGCTCTGCGCTTAAAAGACCAGTGGCCACTGTCAGCGGACGAAGTATACCGACTCCATTTCGGATAAGACAGTCCGCACTCACTGAAATAGCATCGTTAGGACAAGGCATGTTCTACATCTGTCCCGTAAGTTCAGCATCTATGTTTTCAGCCGTTCTTCTGAAGACGTCGACGACGAGTACAGTTAATACTTTAAATGTCCAACGACCTGCTAATTAAGCACGCGAACGATAAGAGATTGAACTTGCAACAGTGTGTCCATCACGATAAGACAGATAAGACTGCCAAAAATGGGATGACACTATATCAAAGACAAATTAGTCAGACACCTCGAAACAGTGACCCTCCCACCTTTGAGACGCCGAACGATGTACAGAGGTCTAAAAGTGATACGTAACTAAAAGATCAGGAAAGTGATCTTGACGCTTACCATGGGTGACATAAAAAGGAGAGACAGAAGGAAACGTTTGAGTGCGTATTGTGGTGGAAGAGCGGGAGGGGGAGTAGGATGAGGCTGAAGTTGGCGATTGCAGACATGCCGTAGGTAGAAATAAACGAGAGCGAGGGATAGAGGACAGGCGGGAGGAAGGAGAAGGGACTTGAGAAGCGAAGGGCTGTGGGGAAGAGAGGTGAAGGAGGATGGGCTAGAGGTTTAACACAATTTGGTCATTATGGCAGGTCTGACGGTTCCTCTACGACAACAGCCAGGACCTGGCCGATGCTGATCACGCCCTGCTTGTCACCGCGAAGGTCCCGGCAGGTCTTGATATTGCCTGTAAGCACACGCACCGCTCTCTCGTATGGCGATTCCAGCGACTTGCACACACGGTTACACTAAACGTTCACATAAATGAATTTCGCCAAACATTTTTCGATTTAAGATTGGGCGAATGGAAATCGAGGCGGAATCGGGGAAATCGAGCGCATAAATTACCACGGACGATGTATTAATTCGACAGGAGTCTCGTCGGCATTAAGAAACCCCACTGCAGTCAAAATCTCTGTCACAGTTTATTACCAGCCCACTTGTGAGCACAGTATTATTCCCTTCGAAGTTATTATTGGCCAAATTAAAGAAGTTAGATCCGGCAAATCCTCTGAAGCTGATGAGACTCCAGGTGTACACTGACGCCAACTATCTGAACCCCGTGTATCATCTTCCACAAATACCCTGAGGCTGGCAAACTTTCTGACACATTGAAATGGGCAGATGCCGTACCCATCCATAAAGGAGGTTCACGAACATACCCCAGCAACTGCCGACCGCTCAGTCCGACATGCATCTGTTATAGTTGATGTCAACAATAATTGAAAAATCTATCAAATCCTTTGATGCATTGCGCTGTCAGATTAGTTCTCCTTAGCATGTTTGCTACGAGAAGAGGTCCTGTCTTACAAACCTCTGCCTTTCTATACAACATTTGTCAAAGCCAGTGGACGAAGAATATCCAGTTGATTTCATTTACTTTGACTTACGAGAGTGTCCTATTCAAAGGATGCCAGTTCCAGCAATGAGACGGGACTTTATAAACTGTATTTTTATTTTTGCAACTAGTCGTAGACAAAAGGACACTGCGGATGACTACTAATCCGAATGGGCGTCTTTTAAGATCGGAGTCCCTTAAGAGCCTTTTCTTGGACCGCTTCTATTCTTAATTCATTTAAATAACCTAATTCAGGCAGTGAAATCTGATATAGTGCTCTTGGCAGATGGTCTTAGACCGTAGAGACCGACAAAAGATGAGACAGACGTGTCAACAACGCCTGACTTCCTTAAACATCTATCCCCTCCACTAAGGACAAGATACAGGTGATCTTTTACTAACATTTCATTTGCCAGTAGGACTAAACCCTGATGTGGACGGGGAAAATCTTTTCGGAATGGCACTGAAGACGAATCTTCGACGTTATAACGGCCAACGTAAAAAGGAATTGTGCCGCGCCAATCAACGTTCCGTCTTTTTCTCGCAGAGTCATTCGGCAGCGATATCCTCTACCAGGATGTGTCGTGTATTCCATCAATTAACAAGTCACTGTTACGGTTGACAAAATACTACTACTTCAAATTCAATAAACCATTTTGTTTACATTAATTTTGGAATTTTTGAGCATATTGTGGGCGAATGCGGTCAGTACTTTGTTCGTTGTTATTTAGCAAATTCACTAACTTTTAACACTTGTTTGATTGTCAGTTTCATGCATTTCTCATAGTAAAACTACCTGTACATTTTTGCAACGTAACCGCACCTCATGCAGATTTTTATTCCTAAAAGTGGGGTTCTCAAGGGCCTCTGGTATTAACTCCAAATACACTGGTGTGATTCGATTTGACTACCTCGTCTGACAGTCGAATAGGAGTGCCGAAAACCAATTCCGTTGTGCTACAGCCCATATCCGTCTTCAGTGCCGCGCGAATTCGAAGGAGTGGAAGGGCAGGTTGTTATGCCGGTTCGTCGGGTCCTCTGCGGTATGCAGAACGGTCTTTGATCGCTGTGGAAACGCTCGACTATGTCGTTGAAAGCTGGGTATTAGACCGTAATCTGAATAAGCTTACAGTCAAGAAAGAGGAGGAACGCAGGAAAAGGACAGACTCAAACTGGACAGCCCGATCAGCGGTAACCGTGGGTGGGACACCGAAAATGGCTATCAAACGACTGGTGGAAATCTTCAAGATTTTGTATGCATACAGGTTCGACAAAGGGATGACATCAATCCGGCGATTAGACCGATCAACTCAGGTAAGGAGGCCAGCGAAGTCAATTGATGGAGGCAGTTAGCCTACGGCATTCAGAGGCACATGGTTGAACCGTGCGTCAAGGCTAGAGATGGTGCCTGATGGAGACTTGTTGTGACGTTGCGCATTGCTTTTCTGGCAGTTTAAACATAACTGTGCCCAGACTTTGACGTCCTTGTTCATGCCGGTCCAGACAGACCCTTCTGTTCGGTGCCTAGGTGACGGTCGGATCCTAAGGGTGGGATATCCCATGAAAAGTTTGGACCGCAGCTCGACTCTCTGAGGCGTGCACGAAGGTATGACCAAAAAAGAGTCGAGAGTCGCAAAGGATAATAGCAATACTGGTGTTCGGAAGAACGTCTGTAAGTTGTAGACCACTAACAGACTCGTTGCCGGACAACCCATACGCTGCCGTTAAGCTGTCATAGCACCAAGGTCGATCGTGTGTGTGTGTGTGTGTGTGTGTGTGTGTGTGCTTGTGTGTGTGTTTTGAGGCAGTTGAGGAGGATGATAGCGAAGATCTTACCGGTGACGTTCAGCGGGGAGATGCCGCGGAGATTGTTGCACACTTGACGGTCTCCCTTTCGCTTGTAGAGATACACGATAAAGAGGGCCTTCAGCCCGAAAGCCAGTGTGGCGTCCGTCGCCACCGCGGGACCTCGGACATGGTCTTCGCAGCCCGCCAAATTCAGGAGAAGTGCCAGGAGATGCGGACCCACCTGTACTCTACCTTCGTGGACCTGACGAAAGCCTTCGACATGGTGAATCGTGAAGGACTGTGGAAGATCATGCAGAAATTCGGCTGTCCGGAGCGATTCACTCAGATGGTGCGTCAGCTGCACGACGGTATGATGGCGCGAGTCACAGACAACGGAGCTGTCTCAGAGGCATTCGCAGTGACCAACGGAGTGAAGCAGGGATGCGTGCTGGCGCCTACCCTCTTCAGTCTCATGTTCTCTGTCATGCTGATGGACGCCTACCGCGACGGCCGCCCCGGGATCTGCATCGCCTACAGGACGGACGGTCACTTCCTGAATCGACGGCGCATGAACTTCCAATCGCGCGTATCCACAACCACCGTGCACGAACTACTCTTCGCCGAAGACTGCGCCCTGAACACCACCTCGGAAGAGTAGATGCAACAGAGCATGTACTTCTTCTCTGCCGCCTGCGAGAACTTCGGTCTGGTCATTAACACGCAGAAGACAGTGGTGATGCATCAACCGCCACCCAACTCAGCCACAGCCCTTAGCGCGCCACAAATCAGCGTGAACGGAACCCAAATGCAAGTGGTGGAGAACTTCCCGTACCTGGATAGTACCCTCTCCCGCAACACCAAGATCGATGACGAAGTGGCCAACAGAATCTCGAAAGCCAGTCTAGCCTTCGGTCGCCTCCAAAGCACAGTTTGGAATCGTCACGGTCTCCAACTGAGCACGAAGCTGAAGATGTACAGGGCCGTCATCTTGCCGACGCTACTGTATGGAGCGCAGACCTGGACGGTGTACACGAGACAGGCACGTCGACTGAACCACTTCCAACTCAGTTGTCTTCGTCGCATCCTGAGACTGAACTGACAGGATCGAATCCCCGACACTGATGTGCTGGAACGAACGGGAATGCTGTGCATCTACTCCATGTTGAGACAAATGCAGCTGCGCTGGAGCGGCCACTTGGTGCGCATGGACGACGAGCGACTACCCAAACGACTCTTCTACGGAGACATCGCGACGGCCTCTCGCCGCCAATGAGCCTAAATTCGGAGATACAAGGATACACTGAAGTCCCCCCTGAAGCGTCTGTAAATCAACCCGACCAACTCGAAAGAGCTCGCACTCGACCGACCGATCTGGATGAGGACAGTGAAAACAGGCGCTGCTATCTACGAAGCCAACCGCATCGCCACTGCCAAAGTGAAACGCGGAGCCTTTTAATCACAAATTCGCCCAGCACGTAACGCCATTGCACAACAGCTGCCAACGTGTCCTCTATGTCAACGTACTTTCCGGGATCGAGTCAGACTTTTTGGACATCTTCGGACCAACTGTGCCTCTCGAACTGCACCAACCATCATCCCGTCATCCGCCTCTTTCTCTTCCTCTCTGCCGCCAACTAAATCTGACAATTCTTCTGAACCACCACTTCCATCATCCTCCTCCTCCTCCTCCTTCTCCTCCCCCGCTGCCCAAATAAACGGCCGCTCAGGCGTCTGTCGCGCAAGACAATAACGCATCACCCCTTCAACCTCCAACTTCAGAGGTGAGGACCAGTGCTACAACTGCCCTTACTGCGACCGCACCTTCACCTCACGCATCGGCCTGGTCGGTCACTTGCGAATACATCTCACAGAGACTGGCGAACCAGTGCCTGGAACACCAAACTACACCCATAGCACTCGCCTCCACTTCCCACACTACCCTCGCACCTTCACGCATCACATGGGCCTATTCGGCCACATGCGCATCCACGACGACCTGCGGTATTCAACCGCCTGTTGCACCACACCATCAGACCCTCCCTCCTTCACCACCAACAAAACCACCCCACCACACATCAACACTCACCCACCGCATGCACCCATCTACCACCTCCCATGCAAGTGGGAAGTGCGCATCTCGACTAGGTCACCATGCGACTTCGGCTGCACAGATGGATTGAGTCCGAGACTATCCCGACACGTCAAGCGTCGTGGATAGGTAGGCTGCTGATTGACGCCCCCTCACTCGATCCACGCAGTCCATTCCGTTGTGTGCGTGTTGTGAGGAGTGGCGGACTGGTGGGCTGGGGACGGGCTGAAACAGCACCTTCCACGGCCATCTCACGCAAATGAGAGACAGGCCGTTCGACCCCCGTTTTGTGAAATCCTGGTGTGTGTGTGTGTATGGGGGGCCAGGTGGTGCATGTAGCACGCGCAGGCATGGTCAGTCGACCGTGTCAGCCACTGCGCCCATTCCCCACTCCAGTCTACTAACCGACTCGGACGGTGGCTGGGGTGTGGGAATGGGAAGTGTGAGTGAGGTCGACGACTCAGCACACATATCCTCACAATTAACAATCTGACGTGCTTAAAGCTACAACGGTGCGCTAAAAGCCGTGGCTTGGAAGGTTGTCAACTGACGGGGTAACTCGGACCTCCTCCTCCTTCACGGGAGGCGGTCTGAGAGTAAGGCTGCAATGGCTCCTTTTTAATGTGGCCTTTATGGCACTCTCACGATAGTGCGGGTATTCGTGCCAGTCGTTGGCGGCACGCCCAGGTGCGGCCTCGGCCGTGCCAGCCTACATTCTGTGTTTTGTGGTAAAAATCCTGGTCATTTGTTGTGTGGATCAGGGGGTGTGGTGGAACGCCAAGGGGAGGATCGTCCGGGCCATTCACCTGCGGCCTCTCCCGTCTCCGGTCTTCTTGACCCTGTCTTGACACCGGACTCAGGCGGGGGAGGAGAAGAGAGTGTAGGTAGATGCAGCGCAAGTCTACTGGCACTATAAACCCCTGCGCAAGTCACCGTTCCTGCTCCCACAATGCAGTCTGTGGGGCACACGGTGGTCATCGTCGAAATCGACGGTCGAAATATCGGGCCACGTGTTAGATGCGCTGGACCAACACGGGGCCACATCGGACTTTGGCAGGCGTTATATGTGCGCAATAAATAATGCCAACATTCCTGGTGTGCGCTGGCGGACCCTGTTGTCGGCATTCGTCGCTCAACTGGACCACTGCCTCCACCCCATTGTTTTGTGGTCAAAATCGTGGTCTTTGTGTGTGGACCAGGAATGCGGAGTGGAGCGCCAAGGCGAAGATCCGTCCGAGCCATCCACCTGCGCCCTCCCTCGTCTCCGGTCTTCTTGACTCTGTCTTGACAGCGGGCCCAGGCGGGGTAGGAGGAGAGAGTGTAGGTAGATGCTACGCAAGTCTACTGGCACTATAAACCCCTGCGTAAGTCACCGTCCCTGCTCCCACAATGCAGTCTGTGGGGCACACGGTGGTCATCGTCGAAATCGACGGACGAACTGTCGTGTGTGTGTGTGTGTGTGTGTGTGTGTGTGTGTGTGTGTGTGTGTGTGGGGTGTAGGGGTGTCCAGCGGTGGATTAACGTGAAGGTCGTAGTGGTCGCTCACTTGCTTGCAGGTGAGACTACGCCTAGCGTCCATTTGCTGGCAACCAACTCTCACCTGTGGCTCCACGTAGCTGGGCTCTGCTCAGCGGCCACACTCCGGGCAACCGCCTGGAAAGGCGGGCTAAACCAGGTGAGGGCGCTGTGCGTTTGTGCCGCGTGCACAGTGTACTGCGGACTCCGCTGGATGTTTGGTCGGATGAAACACTGCGCCGGCATCGTCGAGACGAGGCTCTGCTTGGTACGCCGTTGGACAACTGTGCCGGGACGGGCCTCCTCATCGCCTTCGCTGAGACGCGTCCAAATTCGCCGACGGAGACCGCGGACCTTCGGCATATGCGGTCGTTCTCCACTACAAACATAAAAGTCGTGGCCCCATAGTGGGATTCGGTCGCGCCAACCAGGCACATGGGCAGCCCGATTCAGGGGTGGCACTGCCTGCTCCCGCAAGGAGAAGGGCCTAGAAAAGGTGGCCTAAAAATTGCTGGGCACCTCGCCGTCTGCAGGCCAGCCAAGGCCGCAGATGCCATCAACACGGTCGAAAATATCAAAATCGAAACAATAACAATACCAATTACAACAACAACAATCTTACTCACTCTCCTCATCCTAACACTTCTTCCACTACCTCTGTCTATTCTTCTGCCTATTCTCCTCCTTCGTCATCTTCTTCTCCACCTCCTTTCCGTCGCCCCACTCGTTTTCCCCAGACTGACAGGGTGAGCCTGCTCACTCTGGCAGCCTGGAATGTTCGTTCCCTTTTAGACAATCCGAGGAGCAACGGACCGGAACGGAGGACGGCGCTAGTGGACCGGGAACTGGCGCGCTACAAGGTGGACATCGCCGCACTCAGCGAGACCCGATTCTCCGAACAAGGCCAACTGGAGGAGGTGGGTGCCGGCTACACCTTCTTCTGGAGTGGTCGACCCAAGGCAGAGCGACGGGACGCGGGTGTCGCCTTCGCCATCCGGAACGACATCGTGGGACGACTACCCTGTTTGCCGCAGGGCATAAACGATCGCCTGATGAGCCTCCGTCTGCCTCTCCTGAGTGGGGGCAAAGTCGCCGCCATCATCAGCGCCTACGCTCCGCCTATGAGCAGCCCCGACGCCACCGCGAGAGACAAGTTCTACGAGGACCTGCACGCCCTCCTGGGGACTGTGTCGAAGGCGGACAAGTTGATTGTCCTTGGCGACTTCAACGCCCGCGTCGGCACAGACCATACTGCCTGGAGGGGAGCGCTGGGTCACCACGGTCTCCGCGGCTCCTACGACAACGGCCTGCTTCTCCTCCGCACCTGCGCAGAACACCGCCTCACCCTGACGAATACCTTCTTCTGTCTGCCGGAGCGAGAGAAGGCCACCTGGAGGCATCCTCGGTCGCGTCAGTGGCACCTGCTGGACTATGTCCTCGTCCGGAGGCGAGATCAGCGGGATGTGCTGGTGACGAAGGCGATCGCGGGTGCTGACGGGTGGACCGACCATCGCCTCGTCATCTCGAAGCTGCGTATTCGCCTACAGCCTCGCAGGAGACCAGAAGGTAAGCGACCCCCAGGTAAGCTGAATGTTGCTTTGTTGTCTTTGCCTGCTCACAGTCTCCATTTCAGCAATGAGCTAGCTCAACGGTTAGACAACGTTCCTATCGCTGCCGCCGCCGCCGCCGCTGCCGAGAACGCCTCCGTGGAGAACCGATGGTGTCAACTGCGAGACACGGTCCAGTCGACGGCGCTCGCCGTCCTCGGTCGCACTCCCCGCCAACACCAGGACTGGTTCGACGACAACGACGCTGCCATCAGAAATCTGCTTGCCGAGAAGAACCGCCTACACAAAGCCTACGTAGATCACCTTACTGAGGACAACAAAGCTGCCTTCTACCGCAGTCGCCGACAGCTTCAGCAACGGCTGCGCGAGATGCAGGACGCCTGGACTGCTCGCAAAGATGAGGAGATCCAAGGGTACGCGGACCGGAACGAATGGAAGAACTTCTTCTCCGCAATCAAAGCCGTCTACGGTCCGCCGACGAAGGGCACTGCTCCTATCCTCATCGCCGACGGCTGCACTCTCCTGACTGAGAAGACGCAAATCCTACAGCGATGGGCCGAGCACTTCCGAGGCGTCCTCAACCGCCCTTCCGTCATCTCCAACGCCGCCATCGCCCGCTTGCCGCAAGTGGAGAACAACGCGGACATCGGCCTCCCGCCATCTCTCCAGGAAAACATCAGGGCAGTGCAGAAGCTCTCGAGCGGGAAAGCACCCGGATCGGACGCAATCCCTGCCGAGATCTACAAGCACGGAGGTCCCCTACTGATGGATCACCTGACTGCGCTCTTCCAGGAGATGTGGCGTCAAGGTGAAGTCCCGCAAGATTTCAAGGACGCAACTATCGTGCACCTATACAAGCGAAAAGGGAATCGCCAAGTCAGCGACAACCACCGCGGCATCTCCCTGCTGAACATCGCCGGGAAGATCTTCGCCCGCATCCTGCTCAACCGCCTCAACAGTCATCTGGAACAGGGCCTTCTGCCGGAAAGCCAATGCGGCTTCCGTCGTCATCGTGGGACCACGGATATGATCTTCGCAGCCCGCCAAATTCAGGAGAAGTGCCAGGAGATGCGGACCCACCTGTACTCTACCTTCGTGGACCTGACGAAAGCCTTCGACATGGTGAATCGTGAAGGACTGTGGAAGATCATGCAGAAATTCGGCTGTCCGGAGCGATTCACTCAGATGGTGCGTCAGCTGCACGACGGTATGATGGCGCGAGTCACGGACAACGGAGCTGTCTCAGAGGCATTCGCAGTGACCAACGGAGTGAAGCAGGGCTGTGTGCTGGCGCCTACGCTCTTCAGTCTTATGTTCTCTGCCATGCTGATGGACGCCTACCGCGACGAACGCCCTGGAATCTCCATCGCCTATAGTACGGACGGTCACTTCCTGAATCGACGGCGCATGAACTTCCAATCGCGCGTATCCACAACCACCGTGCACGAACTACTCTTCGCCGAAGACTGCGCCCTGAACACCACCTCCAAAGCGGAGATGCAACGGAGCATGGACCTATTCTCCGCCGCCTGCGAGAACTTTGTGCTGGTTATCAACACGCAGAAGACGGTGGTGATGCATCAGCCGCCTCCAAACTCAGCCACAGCCCCCAACGCGCCGCCGCAAATCAAAGTGAATGGGACTCAACTGCAAGTGGTAGAGAACTTCCCGTACCTGGGCAGCACGCTCTCCCGCAACACCAAGATCGACGACGAAGTAGCCAACAGGATCTCGAAACCAGTCAAGCCTTCGGTCGCCTCCACAGCACAGTTTGGAATCGTCATGGTCTCCAACTGAGCACGAAGCTGAAGATGTACAAGGCCGTCATCCTGCCGACGTTACTGTACGGAGCGGAGACCTGGACGGTGTACACGAGGCAGGCACGTCGACTAAACCACTTCCACCTCAGCTGTCTCCGCCGCATCCTGAGGCTGAACTGGCAGGACCGCATCACCGACACGGAGGTACTGGAACGAACGGGAATTCCGAGCATCTACTCCATGTTGAGACAAATGCAGCTGCGCTGGAGCGGCCACCTGGTGCGCATGGACGACGAGCGACTACCCAAACGACTCTTCTACGGAGACGTCGCGACGGGTTCTCGTCGTCAAGGAGGCCAAATTCGCCGTTACAAGAATACTCTGAAGTCCTCCCTGAAGCGCCTGCAAATCAACCCGACCAACTGGAAAGAGCTCGCTCGCGATCGTCCGACATGGAGGAGAACAGTGAAGACGGGCGCTGCTATCTATGAAGCCAACCGCATCGCCGCCGCCAAAGTGAAACGCGAAGCCCGCAAATCAGAAGTTCGCCCAATACGCAACGCCGCCGCACAACCTCTCCCAACGTGTCCTCGATGTCAACGGACATTCCGGGCACGAATCGGACTTGTTGGACATCTCCGAACCAACTGCACCTCTCGAACTGCTCCAGCCATCGTCCCCCCGCCCGCCTCTTCCTCCTCCCTTCCGCCAACTAACTCTGACACACCGTCTGCACCACCACTTCCATCCTCCTCCTTCTCCTCCACTGCCCCAGCGGTGGCCGTTCAGGCTGCCGTCTCACACATCGCCAACCACGACACAACAACCGCAATCACCCCCACCCCTCCCGATTCCAGTGATGAGGATCAGGACTACACCTGCCCTCACTGTGACCGCAACTTCACCTCACACATAGGCCTGTTCGGTCACTTGCGAATCCATCGCACAGAGACTGGCGAACCAGTGCCTGGAGCACCAACCTACACCCACCGCACTCGCCTCCTCTGCCCACATTGCCCTCGCACCTTCACGCATCGCATGGGTCTATTTGGCCACATGCGCATCCACGAGAGCGGAACTGACCGCAGACTTGACACACCCACCCCGCCGAGCCCCACTCCCAATCCACCACCTTGTGCACCCACTAACCACTCCCTAGCCGACATCGACGCCACCGACCTTACCACCCCTCACTCCTCCCCTTCTTCCTCCTCTTCCTCCTTCACTGCCACAACGACGGCCGCTTCGGCGTCTGTCGCCCACGACCTCACCACAGCAGAACCTGACACAACAACAGGCACAAGCCCTGCAACATCCATCATCAGACGTGAGGGCCAGGACTACATCTGCCCTCACTGCGATCGCACATTCACTTCACGCATCGGCCTGGTCGGTCACTTGCGAATCCATCGCACAGAGACTGGCGAACCAGTGCCTGGAGCACCGACCTACACCCACCGCACTCGCCTCCACTTCCCATACTGCCCTCGCATCTTCACTCATCGCATGGGTCTATTCGGCCACATGCGCATCCACGACGAACTGCGGTAGACAACCGCCGGTCACACCACACATTCCCTCACTTCCTACCTCCTAACACCATCACCCCACCAGACATCAACCCCACACACCTCATGCACTCAACTGCCGCCTCCCACGCAAGTGGGAAGTGTGCATCTTGACTCGGTCCCCATGCGGCTTCGGCTGCACGGGTGACTTGAGTCCGAGACTATCCCGACACGTCAAGCGTCGTGGATAGGAAGGTTGCTGATTGACGCCCGCTCTCGGTTCACGCAGTTCGTCGCGTTGTGTGTGTGTGTGTTGTGTGGAGTGGCGGACTGGTGGGCTGGGGACGAGCTGAAACAGCACCTTTCACGGCCCTCTCACGCAAGTGAGAGACACGCCGTTCAACCCCCGTTGTGTGAAATCCAGGTGTTTGTGTGTGTATGGGGGGCCAGGTCGTGCTGTGGCGCGCGCAGACATGGTCAGTCGACCATGTCAGCCATTGCGCCCATTCCCCACTCCAGTCTTCTGACCGGCTCGGACAGCGGCTGGGGTGTGGGGATGGGAAGGGAGAGTGAGGTCGACGACTCAGCGCACTTTCTCCTCACTATAAACAATCTGACGCGCTTGAAGCTATCACGGTGCGCTAAAAGCCGTGGCTTGGAAGGTTGCCAACTGACGGGGTACCTTGGACCTCCTCCTTCACTGGAGGCGGTCTGAGAGTCAGGCTGCAATGGCTCCTTTTTAATGTGGCCTTTATGGCATTCCCACCACAGTGCTGGGATCCGAGCCAGGCGTTGGCGGCACGCCCAGGTGCGGCTTCGGCCGTGCCAGCCTCCAAATCTCTGTTGTGTTGGTTGAAATCCTGGTTATTGCTGTGTGGACCAGGGGGTGTGGTGGAACGCCAAGGTGAGGATCCGTCCGAGCCATCCACCTGCGGCCTCCCTCGTCTCCGGTCTTCTTGACTCTGTCTTGACACCGGGTCCAGGCGGGGGAGGAGGAGAGAGTGTAGGTAGATGCTACGCAAGTCTACCGGCACTATAAACCCCTGCGTAAGTCACCGTTCCTGCTCCCATTGCTGCTGCAACTGTGGGGCACACGGTGGACATCATCGAAACCGATGGTCGAACTGTCATCACACAAGGTCACACATTATTAATCTAACGGAGAATGCCAGGGTTCCACTCTACTCCCCCAAGAACGATTGGCTGGATTAGAGAATTACTAGTGGGCAAACCCGGGCCAAGCTCAACTGAGTGGTCTACCTTTGAAGTCTACCTATGACATGACGGACTTTAAAACGCACGAAAACACATTGAGGACCAGACCGAAGATGCCGAGAATGGAACTCTCTCAGAGCTAATAAACGTTCTTTGAAAAAGGAAACGAGGGGATTATAAGTGCGCTGTAAACACTACCACATATGGTGGGTACGAAGTCTAGCAAATATGAACGGATATTGAAACTTGCGGCCGCGCGTAAACATTACAATAAAGGATGTCAGGGTTCCACACTGTCCAAGCAACAGCGAATCAACGATTTAAGAGTTTGGTAGAGGAAATGGTCGGTTCCAGCTCGTCTGCATATTCGAGGTATAAAAGTCTACCTCTGAAAGAGTGTTTGTCAGCACCCACGGCAGCCGCCAAGCGAGTTAACTAAAGATATCAAAGAACCTGTTGCTGTCCGCCCTCTTGCTCGTCGTTTCTTTTTCGCGCTGCACTTCTGTCCACCTCACGCTCCCCGTCGTTCCGCTGCTTGGACCGCATGAGGCTCGTCACTAACTTCGAGAGAGCTTGAAGCCAATCAACGCTGTCCCTTCGCTTATTAGCTAGAGGCGGGCACTTACTAAGACAGAACAAACGCGCACACATGCGCGGCGGCTAAGAAACCTAACGGCGAACACTGAAAAAAACGCCTGAAGTTATAGCTTACGCGGCTGCTTACCAAGCCGTCGTTCGTCCACATCAGTATAAATATGTCCAACACATTCCGTCTTCCATAACTTCTGATTTCGGAATCTGCATTGCCGACGATTAGGCGCTCTGGAGCCGGTTTCCAATATCCATAAAACCAATTATTCGCCTGTCAAATTACTCACTGGATCGGGAAACGAGGAGGGCGTAAGCGCGATTCGAGCACCAATAAGCATACTGTGTGTTAATGTTAGCTATGACGGAGAGGTTTAAAAGGTCGGGGTAGCGCACATTCGCTGGAAAGATCCTAGGGGTCCACTCTGCACGAGAGACAATCGTTTGATAAGGAAAAGAATAGGACGCTTGCGCAATTAAAACACAACTATGTGTACTAAGCGTGAAGCCTCTCTGTGACGGGAGTGATTTTGGAGGCCCTATGTAAGGATGAATTATATGACCGGCCAACGGATCTTATTCATATAATATGGCTGTTTGATTGTGCTAAGTAGGCATGTTTCATGAGTAATAATCGCAGACCAACAATAAAGGTCGTGTTAAACAGAAGTTACAGTAGATGTGCTAACTCATGAACCCTTGACCGAAATTTTGACATGTCCCCTACTCGAAATATTACGTAAATTTTTGCAATATTAATTATCATGCACGAAAAGGCCAAAATATTTCGGTTGCTTGCCGATGCCAGTTTTGAATGAACTTATTTCTGTCTGCCTGCAAAAACTACACTGTAAAATAGTACTACTCAAGTTCTATGAACTTTTGTCATTGATTTTCGACGCTCGTATAAATTCAAATATTGTCCAAGGAAAACAAGCACAAAAATAGTCATTCTCTCACTCATTTGGAAAAGGATTACGTTTTCTCCAGGACTGGTACTTGAAGTCAACATCACCTGATGAAGGACGTAATCCTCTACACCCGTTCGGTATAGAGATTTGGGATGCAAATGTTAACTTAGAGTTGGCCCCGACGAAGGACATCATAGTAAGCGGCTTGTACTATGCCGACGACTGTGAAACGATTCAAAAAGACAAGAAAATTACACAGTTTATACTGCAATGTTTCGCGGTCTTTTTTATTGACGTTTAACCGAATTTACGGCCATCTAGGTAATTATGTACGGTTTATATTCTAAGAGCGCTAAATAAATTTCAGTCTGAAATAGGTTATGTTGGTGAGGCAGTACGAAGCTTACGCTTTGTATTCTCAACCTTTCCGGATGAGTCAATCAATAAATGCGGAGAGCTGAAAAGTTAACACGTCAAGTGAAAATACATCTGGAGTCAGAGACTGACATGACCCTCGTACACTTTTGGTCTTACTGTTTAGATTCAGCAATCCGCGTGTTGGTACTTTCTGACCGTGCAAAAGGAAGGGTCAAATAGACTTTCTAAACGCAAATGGCATGAACGGCGGTTTAGTTAAACAGGCCCTGTAAAGATATTACATACGCAAGTTGACAAAAATTATCGGGATAAATACAGCCTCTAACAGTTCACTGTATATCCAACGTTTACATATTTGCCTTTATCGTTCTGCAGAATTTAAATCCCTTTGAAAACCCAGAGCCATCCTCAGGACCTGTGCACATGCGCCTCATTTG